GCCGCAGAAGCGGTCCCGCATAAGCGAAAGCGCGACCGCAGAAGCGAAAACTGGACTGGGCGACAGAAGGGTTTTAAAATAATATTTCATCCGCGACCCTTTCATATTTTTCCTCCACTGTTGACGTTCTTAAGAGCTTTGAACAAGAAAATTCGAGGGTTTTGACTGAGAATCACTTGGAGGTAAGTTCCTTGGCCTAAATATTCGAATCTATGGCAGAAATTACATGTAAATTGTAGAAAATTCATCAAAAACACTAGGGCTTGAAAAGTTATGATGTAAAAACGGATTTTGAAAGGGCATTTGAGCTCCGTTTTCGGTAAACTTTATATGCACGGACTCGTGGCGAGACGAGGAATCCGTTGGTGTGATTTTCAGAATTTTTCGAGAAGTAGGCCCGGGGCTCGGGTTTTACCAACTTCGTGAATGTTAGTACTTTTCGAGTATTTTTGACTGGGTTATGTTTCTTTAACCCATATTTATGTATTCGTTGTGATTTTGACTAGATTCGACGCGCGAGGAGGTCGATACGAAAGGAATAGGCATGGTGGACCATTCTACGGCCGGATAGAGGTGAGTAGTTGGTGTATATGATGGCCTGAGGGTTTGAAACCCCGGCTTATCACATTGTGACGCTATTGTAGGGCGTGACTCGCACCCCATGGCAGGTGCGGGATTGGTTATGACTGGGATTGAGACTTAGTCCATCCCGAACAAGAATGTTTCTATATTGGCGACTGATACTCACCCTGTATTGAATATATCTGGGCTTATTGCCGTGTTTGGGGCCTTGTGCCGATCTGTAGCATCCTTAGAGGTTGAAGGTCATTGTGATAGCATGCTTTGTATAATTATTGATCTCAGTCCTGTGTCTAATCGCTGTTATAAAATGCTAAGTCACTAGTCCTGAAGTTAAATATCTAAAGTATATTCTTCTTTATAAATTGGAAATTGGAAAATTAATTGAATCTGTTACGTGACTCATATGCATATTGTGGGCTGAGTATGGATCGGGCTGCACGCCGCAGCGAATGGTATGATTATATTGCGCTTGGGCTGAAGGAGCCCCTCCGGAGTCTGCACACACCCCCAGTGAACGCCGTCGACGTTAAATGGATCGGGCTGTACGCCACAGCGTGTTCATGTGCATTGCATTGCATCCTT